CCGGGCACCAGAAACAACCTGGCGCTGATTTTCCTGGGCAGGGGAAAATGCACCCTGATTTATGAAACTCAGACCTGCAGAGATTCACTCCCCACAGCTGCTGCTTCTCCTGGTGCCGTGAGCACAGGCTCTGCCTCAGTCCGCTCCCACTTGATGGCTCAGGAAGTCCCTGCCTGACTGGATGTCTCCTCTTGAAATGAACCAGTCATTCTGAAAAGGGCAGAGGTAGCGATGTCATCATTTTCCTTTTTATAGAACATACGCAGACATAAAAACACCAGATCCTAAGAAACCGTTAAAAACCTTCAGCCTGTTAAAAAATGACCAGGGCGCCTGGTGGTGTGGAGTTGTGACTAAGAGCTGAGCGCTGGAGCCAGGCAGGTTTGGGCTGGTTCCTGACCTTGCGTAAGTCACTTAACCTCTCTCTCAGCCTGGCCTGGTCTCCTAACTGCAAACTCTCCTAGAGATGGGAGGGTTCACGGTGACGGACTTAGCACACAGACACTGTGTGACCCATTGAAAGTACTCACTCAGCATTACCGACGTGCTGTCACCATCCACCATTCCAAACAGCCCAAAACTGGCATCTTCATGGTGTCCCCCCCCATCACAAAGGCTGTGGCACCTGATTGGCTACAAGATCACTCTACTACCTGTCCACCCCTAATCCTCTGTCCAGCTGGAGGAAATGATGGAGGCAGCGAGGGCTCCTCTTCTCCACAAGAAATGAGCGGAGTGGACTGGGTACCAGTGACTGAGAATCGCACGCTTTGGTTTGAACCCTCACTCATCACCCTCCAGCTGTGTGACTCTGAGGCATCTTGACTTCTCTATGCTCCAATCCCATCATTCCATCCTCTCATCATGGAGATGATAACTGTACAACTGTAGGTTGTTATAAAGGTTACTTAAAACACCGCCTGGCAGACAAAGAATTACGGTAAGTAAAAAAAAATTGAATAGATGTCTTGTTTTGAATGAAAAAGATGGTCTTGGGAATCTCAAAGTCTCAAATCCCACTCATTTTACTCTTCCCATCCTTATTTGACAGCCTGAATGCACAACAAAGCTGACAATATCTCGCCTCAGCTTAACCCTTCTTCTCCTTACCCTTCCCCCTTGCCATCTAGACAGCGAGCCTTGTCAATTCTATCTAAAACGCTTGCCCTGCTCCAACCCCTAGTAATTCCCTCAGCACAGAGCCCTTCATGCAGTCTCCTCTGTTGCGATTAACTGCCTCTGAAAGCTCGCTGGAGGGTCAGCTATGGGTTGGTTCCAACTCAATAGTACACAACAACAACTCCTCACTTACGGATTATCTCATTATCTGACAACTGGCACTTAAAACTGAGTGACCCAAAGTCAATCTACTATCTGCCTATTTAGTACTGGCATTAATGAATGCCCAAGTGCAAGGTTAAGAGTAACACAGGCTGTGATGGTTCAGGTGTCAGCTGGTCCATGCTTCTCTGCATTTTGGCAATTATGTAATGATGAGGCTTAGCAGTTATGTAATGATGTAGTCATCCTCCATTTTTACACAGTGCTAATTTTCACATGACAACCTAATCTTTTCAGTTGTTCCCCTCCCACACACTCTTTTAATTTATTTATGTTGTTATGTACCATTGAGTTGGAATCAATTCATAGCTGACCCTCAAGCAAGTTTTCAGAGGTGGTAAATTGTATGGAAGGAGACTGCTCATCTTTCTCTTGTAAAGCAGCTGGTAGATCTGGACAGCATGACTTCAGGTGGGCAGCACAGTTCCTTACCACTAGGTCACCAGAACTTCTTTTTATTTAACCATTTAAAAAAAAAAAGTCATAAGTCACTCTGGATGTCTGACCTTAAGTTCCCCAAGTTATATCTGTATTTACAAGGTTCTGTGTGGGAGTTTGGAGGCTGGCCAGTGGTAGATGTGTCCAAAGAGACAACACTAGATGGATACTATGATCCCATGTTACTTTTTGGCTGCAGGATATCTGTGTGGATAGCAAGATCTAAATGCAAAACATAGAGAGGGGGAGGAGGGGTGGGCAGGGAGAAGAATGCAACAATGAATGAATGGAAATCCTAAATCTCTGTAAATATTCATTTAAATAAATAAACAAACTAACACAGACAAAGATTGCTAGCAGACACTGAAGAAAACTGTGCATACCTTATACAGCAGCCGTTACGACTAGTCTCGGGAACCATGCTGATGTGGAGGAAGGGGTATCTTTCTCTGTGGCTGAAACCAGTCCCAACTCTCTCTACAACACCTCTCATGCTGCCTCTGGAATTACTATTAAGCAACCCAATCCGATCATGCTCTGCACCTCCCCATAAATCTTCAATGGCTCCCCATCACTCTATCAAGTAGTGTTTATTTTTTAAATTTTAATTTAATTGTATTCTTTTATTATTTGTGCATGTGTGTACCATCAAATCAGATCTGACTGGTTACAGGAGGAGATTGTCCCTCCTTCTCCAGCAGAGCATCTGGTGGATTCGAACCATGTACTTCTGGGATTGTAGTGCAGCTTCTTGCCACTAGGCCACCAGAGCTCGCCTCAAGTAGTGTTTAAAAGCCCCAAGATTCTATCTCCAGGCTCTCATTTCAGTCTCCTATGTAAGCACGAACCCTGTTAACTCTTTGTTCTCTGTCTTCGCCAAGCCATCTTCCCTCTCTTCAGACCCTCATGCCAGGAGTAACTTCTTATCAATCATAGGCCCTCCACCTGGACACCCACATTCTGTCCACAATACTTAGTACATAGTGCTGTTGTTGTTGTTGTTTGCCATCAAGTCAGCACCAACTCATAGTTGACCCTCCAGTGGGTTTCCAGAGGCAGTAAATCACATGAGAGAAGCCAGTCCATTTCTCTCCCAAGCAGCAGTTGGTGGACTGGAACTTCCTGCGCTCGGGTCGGCAGAGTAACTCCTTTCTCACTAGCCACCATAGCTCCGTAGTACGTACTGAAGTAAATAATTTGGCAAAGAGCAAGTGTGCTGAAATATTCACTGGACTTTAAAGGCAATGTTAAGACTGCCTGGCTTTCAACCATTGTCACTGAACAGTTTGTGTAACACTAATGAAAAGGAAACTAAACTACTGTGTAAATCATTACTGAAAACACAATACTACAATGTTTAAATGTTTTACATAAGAAAGTGTGTCTCACACACACGTGTGCACATGCAGACAAATTCTATATATAACAACAAAAATTGCCTAAGTTCCAAGAGAGAAGGGTGTGTGGTTAGATACATCATGTCCCTGGCCACAGGACAAAGTAAGCTGTGAGGCAGGAGGTTTCAACCCAGGATGGAAAGGTCCAAGTGTGTTAGAATTTCAAAATGCCCATCACACAAAGGAAAATCTGAGCTCTAACTCTGGTCAACACCCTCCCCTCTAATGTTGCCAAAAAAATAGAGATTACGTGAATTGATAGGTCTCTTTACAGAGTCCCATCTAATACATTTCTCAGGAGCTCAAGTTCTCCTCCTGAAGGTGAGTTTTGGGACTGCATGCCTGCCTCTCCCACAATTCTGCCCGAGTAGTAAGCTTCTCACTGAAGGGTCCTGGGACCACTCAAAGCACCATGGACCTGAGTGAGAGCAGCCTGGCTGGACCTCCACATCCCGTCCCCCAAGGAGAAGGCACAGGCTCACTGACTCTCCACAGTCAGGTGGAGAACGCCCAACATCAGGCAGGAACTCTGGTGAATGTCCCAGCTTGCTTTCGGACTCTGTTCCCTAATAGACAAACTAGTCTGGTTCCAGCCTCGTTTCTTACCAAGACCTTGGCTTTACCTGCCAAGTTCCAGGCCCACACAGTCCAGGGGCACTGCCAGCCAGCAAGCAAACTAACTATGGCTGTGGACTGAGCTCTCTGCGAGGCTACCTATCCAGGTTGCACGCTGTATTCTTTCAGATCCCAGGATTCTGCTCCAGCCTCATCCTGGCTAGTAGGCAGGTGGGAGCTCCCCACTGTACCTCAAGACCCCAGACACTACATGCCTGATCAAAGCATCACAACCCACTGGGGCCAGTTGGGCTGACCTGGTGCTGCCTGTGGTATCTGTACTTCAGGAGCCCCTGGACTGTGCTTACTGAAAAGCTGGTGGTCAAGTTCTGTTCTAACCCACTGGGAGCTCTGGTGGCCTAGAGGCAGCTGCACTGTAATCCCAAAGGCACATGGTTTGAATCCCCCAGCTGCAATCTCCTCCAGAGTTGGTTCCCAGTCAACATCACACAACATTCGGATAGACAGGTGGCCACTATTAAGTCAGGTGACTTGATGGCAACTGATTACTGCTAACCGAGGCAGCCCTGGCCTATAGAAAGCCAAATCCCTGTCCCCTCCATTCGCAGAACTTCTGCAATCTGTAGCAGGAAGGAATGCTACAGGGACCTTGACTTTGGTGCATTTATTTGCTTTCTATGTGGAGGTAACCAGCAACAGCGGATTCCTAACTGCTTAAGTTGTCTCTGTGTATCATGATCAATGTATTTCTAGTAAGAAACATTTTCTTAGGAAATGCATCTCTTTCCTGAAGTGTCTTCTTGAAAGAGCCCCCAGGAAGGAGGAGCTAATGTAATGTAGTGGACACTCAGAATGTAGGCAATCTGAACTGAATATATCTCAACTGTGGAAATGTTAGGAGTCTCTGGTTCCTCCCTCGGGGCATTTATGGAGGTTTGGATGTTGGGTTCCAGGGAAGAAAAATCGTACTGGGGAGAGCCAGGGCGATGCAGATGCCAGATACAATTCGAATTCCCTTCCCATTCCCTATAGCCATAAGGTATGACCAGGTGAAAAGAGGAAAAGTTACCAAGGTGGGGAGTCCGAGGGAGACATGGAGAAGAGAGCGAGCTGGGGACCCCGGGAGCACCGGCCCGCGCTTAGGGCAGAGCTCGGGGAGAAGGTGACCTGGCCGGCGCCCCCAGCGGGTCAGTCTCCCCTTCTCGGGCAGGCCCCCGGTCGGTCCGGGAGCCCCGGTGGCCCGCTCACCTCTCGCGCGGAGCGGATCTGCTGGCGCAGCGCGTCCTTACAGCCGTAGGGGCCGCCGGCGCCCACACCGCGCGGCTGGAAGTGCGCCTCGACGCGCGTGGCTCCGCGGTAGGCGCCCTGGTAGAAGGCCGGCCAGCCGAGCTCGAGCAGCGGCGGCTCCAAGTCCGACTGCTCCGGGAAGTAGGTGCCGGACGAGCAGTCGTGCGACGAGCCGAAGGAGTCCTCGGCGCCCGCCGCCGCGCCCTCCTGGTCAGGCCGCTCGCTCGCGCTCAGGATCGCGCACACCTCGTCCGGGTTCAGGAAGCGGCCCAGGCGCTCGCGCCGCAGGAAGATCGAGAAGGCGTCGGGGCCGCCTGTCACCAGCTCCTCGAGCGCGAGGCGCTGCGCTTCGCTGTACAGTTCGGCCGGGTTGGGAGGCCCGCATGGCGACAAGCAGTCGGCCGGCAGCTCGTCCAGGACTTCGGACCGCAAGGCCATGGCTGCAGCCTCCAAGGACCGCTCTTAGGCAAGTACGGGCGTGCGCAACCGCCTTTATATGCATCTTTGAATCAAACTGGCCCGCGCCATTGGCCGCTTCGCTCCGCCCCGCTCTCCTATTGGCTATAGTCTTGGCTAGCCCCTCCTCATGCCGATAGTTTCGCACATGCGCTGACATGGCCACAGCCCCTCAAGTGCTATTGGTGGCTGTCAGGGCCGCGCCTCTGCAACCGAGCCCATGCTTTTTCGCTGTTTGAGATTTAAACCTTACTGCTTAGTTCATGTTAAGTCACAGCCTTAAAAAAAAAAAGTCACAACTTTGGAAGCTCTATACAATGTTGCCATGAATCTGAATCGACTCGATGGCAATGAGTTTGAGTATTCATTATCCTGTGTCCAAGTTGTCCCGGCGACGAAGTGGTTAAACTCTCGGTTGCTAACAAAAGATTGTTAGTTCGAACTCAGGACCATTGAGTTCACGACGAGCATCTCCGTTCAAGAAAAATGTGGCAGTCGCCCTCCATGCACATTTTTAGTTTTTGAGTTCTCTATTCTACAGACTCGCTGTAAATCGGAATCTACGCAATGGCAATGGCTTAGGTTTGATTTGCGTTTACTCTGTTACTCTGTGTCGGCTCCGTGCAGGAGATCACAGCTCTTAATCTGCTTGAGAGAAGAGGGCTTTGTAAAAAAGAGTTTAGTTTGCCTTTGACAGACAGAGCGGGGCATGGAACCCCGTATCCTAGCGCGCCCCCTGCCGGCAGGCCTCGCAGCTCGTTCTCTCCGGGTGGGACAGTCAGGTTTAAACCACTGGAAAGAGTGTACCTCTCCCGAGTCCTGAGATGCAAAGATGTCAGGCTAGAGACCAAGATATGCCTGATTCAGGCCATGGTCTTTGCAATTACTTATTATGCATCAGAGAACTGGACAATGACTAAGGATGACAGAAGAATTGATGCCTTTGAGTTGTGGAGCTGGAGAAGTCTTTTTTTTTTTTTTTTAATGGAACACTTCTTGCTGATCTTCTCTGTATCGTCCCAATTTTAGTATATGTGCTACCGAAGCGAGCACTGGAGAAGAGTCTTGAACATTCCATGGACTGCCAAGAAAACAAACAGGTGTGTATTGGAGATGGTGAAACCAAGTTTCTCCTTGAAAGTTAGGATTTTGAAGCTCCATCTCATTAAAAGGCACGTGGCCAGGAGGGACCGGTCTTTGTAGAAGGTCATTGTGCTTGGAAGGGTGGAGGGATGGCACAGGAGAGGAAAACCCTGGATGAGACGGATTGACACAGTAGCTGGAATAATGGAGGTACATATGTCTGAATCAGTTGAGACTGGCTCAGGGTGGAGTAGAGTTCAGAGCTGTTGTATATAAGGTCATAATGGCACATCACAACAACACATAGATAAATAATACATAAAGATTGTGTGTATTTTATTCTAAGTGTGTGTATTTTATTCTATTTTTTTAAAAAAAAAAACTCATTACCATCAAGTTAATTCTGACTCATTGTGACCCTCCATCGGGTTTCCAAAATTTTTACAGAATAAATTTCCAGACTTTCTCCCTGGGAGGATGCAGCAGCAGGTAGATTTGAACAACAGACCTGGCAGTTAGGAGCACAGCATGTCACTATGTCACCAGAGCTCCTTTAGAACCCAAACAGCTGCCATCCAGTCATTTCCAATGCATGTCAGCAGAACTGTCCCTTGGGTTTTCAGAGGCTGATTGTTGGACAGCGTATCCCCAGGCCTTTCTCCTGGGCAGACTCATGATCAAATAGCCAGCCTTTCAATTAAACGCTGACCACATGCATTAACTGTTTGCATCACTCAGGCTTTATGTATATGTGGACACTGGGTGCCATCCAGACTGGAATCTTCCTGTTTATGGATTTTTTTACTCTACGTTGTAATCTTTATGGGAGTAGATAACTTGATCTTTCTTTCTTGGAGCACTTAACCACAGTGCCACAAAGTATCTGTGTGTGTGTGTGTGTGTGTGTGTGTGTGTGTGTGGTCTTTGTTACCTAGTACTCTGGCATCCACTTCCTAAACAACATGCCTCTGAAAACTCTATGAACTTTGAGAAATGACGACATTAATTGAAAGGTTTCCGGTCTTTTGTTCATAGGGTCATGAGTCATGCTCAATTTGATGGCAATCAACAACCACTTATATCAGAGATGCCACAAGGGGATGGTGTTAACAAACAGAAGTGCATTCTCTCACAATTTAGGAGATTGGAAGGGCCATGCCAGCTCCAGAGAAAGGTATTCCTTCTTTGTCAGCTCTGAGGGAATGTTCTTGTTTCTTTACCTTGTTTCTTGGAGCTCTATTTGCATGTGAATTGGCATTAACCTTTCTCCATCTCTGCTTTCTATCTTGCTTGCCTAAGCTCCTTTTTACCTCAAAAATATTATCTCAATGCATACTCTCCACTTACTCTGCCTCATTCCCAAATGGGAATAGAACCACAAACACTGATGTTAGGATTTATATAGCACCTACTCTGGAAGACACAATTCATTCCATAACTTTCCACCTCTTGGCCACCAAATTCATGTCTTTGTCACATGCAAACCACACTCACCCCATCACATTATCTCAAAAATCTTAAGTCAATGCCAAGTCTAAGATCTCATTTTAGGAACATGTAAATAAAATATGCACAAGACTTTAGGCCTATTTCCATTCTGGGGCAAAATTCCTCTTCATCTGTAAACCTGGGGAATCTAGAATCCAAGTTTTATCTGCTTAATCTGTCTGCTTCTTAAGTTCAGTGGTAGAACAGGCACAAGGCAAACACACTTCCATTCTGAATGAGAGAACTGTAAGGGGAAAAGGAGTAACAGGTACTAAATAACTCCAAAACCCAGAAGAACCAATTTATTAGCCTTGTCATCTTGCAAATAATCCTCTTTTCTCGAGATCTTCTTTTTTTTAAAAAAAAAAAATTTTTTTAAATTTTATTATTTTTGTGTTCGTGTACCGTCAAATCAGATCTGACTGGTACAGGAGGAGATTGCCCCTCCTTACCCGGCAGAGCATCTGGTGGATTCGAACCGTGTCTCGAGATCTTCTGAGCAGTAACCTCCAGACTCTGGGCGCTGGCCATGCTCACTGGATTCTGGGTGGAAACCTTCCACACTTTGAGCATTGCCTATTTTGTGCTGGATTCTGGGTAGAATTCTACAAACATAACCTTTCAGCCTTGCACTTCAGTTCGGTCTTCCAGGTTCACAGGGATAAACCTCACTCCCTTAGCTTCAGGAAGCCCCACTCTCCCAGTGCACTATGACCCCTTGGTCTCAGCAGATCTTGTTCTTCTGCACCTTGGGCATGGCAGCCTTGTTCCCTCAGTTTTCAGAGGGCACCTCATCCCCATGGAACACACCGAAATAGCAGCTCCCACACTCTAGACCTGAGATTGGATTCTTTGACACTTACAAAGCTATGGTCCCACATTTGAGATGCAGGAGACCATGGCCTCTCCTTTGAGACTAAGAAGGCCCTACTTCTCCCCCTCCTCTGTCTTCTCTGCACTAGGAGCAGCTTTCCTGCCACAGCCCCACATCCCCTGAAAGTGTGTACCTGCACCATGTTTGTCTCCACCCCTTCCCTGGTCAGGAGTGCCTCTCAGCTGCTGAACCGTCCACTGTCTGCAGTGGTCCTGGAACAACCAGAGACACTGAGAGATGAGAATTTTAGTAGCTTGGCAGCCCCACTTTCCTCGATCCCTATTTATTCCAGACCAGTACCAACACAGCAGCCAAGTTCATTGGGGCTGGGGCTGCCATGGTTGGAGTGGCTGGCTGGCTCTGAAGCTGGGATTGGGACTGTGTTTGGGAGCCTCATCATTGGTTATGCCAGGAACCCTTCTCTGAAGCAGCAGCTCTTCTACGCTCTTCTGGGCTTTGCCCTCTCAGAGGCCATGGCGCTCTTCTATCTGATGGCGGCCTCTATGATCCTTTTCGCCGTGTGAAGGAGCCGTCTCCACCTCCCAGAGTTTGCTAGTTTTCTCCCCCTCCCCCGTGTTTTGTCCTTTCCCTGTGTCTCCCCAGGCAGCCTGGGAAAAGTGATTAGAAGGCCCTACTTCTTATGATCCTTCCAACGGTCCTGCTCATCCCTGATTTCTCTAGGAATGGCCTTTTTATCTTGTTGGAGGGCAATAGACTTTCTATGGCCTGATTTCTCCTTGTAGAATTCTTTTTTTTTTAATTATTAATTTCAATGAAAATTTATAGACACTGGGTTTCCATTCAATAATTGTTACACTTTTCTCCCCGTCCAACCCTTCCCCCCCTCCCCAGTACACTACACTCTTGGAAAAGTAAAAGAAAAATTCTTTCCTTGTTTTACAATCCCTTCCCCCAGGGTCCACTCCACTATGCAGCCTTCGCCCTGGATTCCCGTCATGACAAAAATACCTAATCACATATCCCTTTTAAACAGTTTTCTCCCTCATCTGTTCAATGCAGTATACATTATTTTACCCATCTTTCTCAGTCTCCCCCCAACCCCGAGGTCAGTCCTGTTTTACAACAGTGGCACCATGCAATATTTGTCCTCTTGTGACTGAGATACTTCACTCAGCCTAATGTCCTTCATGGTCACCCATTTTGAATAATATTGTATGAGTTCCTTGTTTTTCAATGCAGTGTAGTATTCCATTGTGTGAATATACCCCAGCTTCTCTATCCATTCATTTGTTGATGGGCACTTAGGTTGTTTCCAACTCCTTGCTATTGTGAACAAAGCCACAATAAACAGGGTGTGCATATATCTGCTTGGAAGTCAGTTATGGTCTCTTTGGGGTATTTTCCCAGTAGTGGAATTGCTGGGTCAAATGGTATCTCTACAACTTTTTGAGAAAGCGTCATACCACCTTCCACAGTGGTTGCACCATTTTACACTCCCACCAACCGTGAATAAGGGTTCCAGTTTCTCCACATCCTCGCCAGCATTTGTTGCTTGCTCTTCTGTTAAATTTTGCTATTCTGACTGGGGTGAGATGGTATCTCATAGTTGTTTTGTCCTTGTAGAATTCTAAGAGGCAGGCAGACAGTATTCTTACACTATCCACATAACCTTAAGTAAGGTGTTGGGCTTTCTGCTGTGGTGGTTGGCAGCGGGGGGATTTGAACCGCTGAGCTGGCAGCCGCCAGAGCTCCCATCTATCATGTATTTGTTACTCTAATCACCTACCTTTCCTTGGCTTCCTCAGGTTTCATCACATCTCAGTGTGGCAAGGCTTCTATTTCCTATTGTCTGAGCCTCAGAGCGCGCTTGGTATCAGGAACCTCTCAGGAAGATCCCGTGGTGATGAAAACAGGAAATCTGGAGCCCTCACCCCCCTTCAAGGCAGCACAGTTTGAAAGAGCACAGAGCAATGACCACAGCCACACTGCCAGGTGTTATTAAAAGAAATTTAATAATCTTAATTAAAAACGTTTAACAGCGAATTCCGTCACAGGCCTTGGCAGCTGGAAGCAACTTTGGGTCAAGCCCCTTTGGGGTATGGTTGAGACACGGCCTAGGTCACCAAGCCCCCCATCACTACTGTGTGGTGAGGGGTTACCCAGAAGTTACTTTAATACAATATCAAAGATCTGCAAGGATTTTTCTTTTTTTTAAAAAAGTTTTAAATATATTAGACTCTCTTGATTGCCATTTTTACACAAAGCTGCTGATACAGTATACAGAGTTTTCATAATTTTTTTTCACATAAAATACATTTTTGTTAAGTGTTCTCTGTACATCAGTGGCTTCTGGTCTGGTGGATTATTGCGGCGGGCTGGGGGTCTGCGGACTTTTGCTGGATGCGCAGAGCCAGGCCCCGCACCGTGGCACTTGCGATGCCCATGGGAAGCAGGCCCTCTGGCCACTGCCATGGAGAGAACTGCAGCTTCTGTCAAGGGCGGGTCACCTGCATGGTGTCATCCAGTGACCACGGGCCCATTGCTCTCATAGGCCTTTGGGAAGGCGAGGCTGTCCCCAGGCTACAAGTAGCAAGAGTTAAATACCGTCCATCTGGGCATCTTATAAGGAACACCTTTTTGGAAAGTACCCCAGTGTCTGCTCTGAGTGATCAGGTAGAAAAGAGAGATCAAGATCCGAAGATATCTTGACACTGTTAGCCAAAAAGATCTGTTACAAAAGCCAGCAAACTGCGGTGAGCAAGCCAAGTGGGCGGTTCCCTAAGTCCCTTGAAGTCGAGCGAACAGTGCAGACCAGTTCAATCAGTGCTGCGTAACTGAGGGGGAAATTAGACGCAAAGTCTTCAGTATTATATGAGCCTAGGGTTTAGTTTGCTGGGCTTCTACCTAGGGACTTACAGCTTGGTGACAACCACCCATTCCCAGCTGTCTGGGACACAGGGTGGGAGCAGGGAGCCCTTAGTGCATCCACCACTCAGGTGTGGCACCTGTTTTAGAAATGGCTGCCAGATACGGGGCTCAGCAGAAGCTTGGCATCTGGTTGAGTGTGCCAGGCTCCACTCAGCGAAGCTCCAGGATCCACACCTGTCAGGCGGAAATGCTGACTCAGGAGGAAAGACTTCCACCTTCAAAGATGAACTTCTCGTCTTATCAAAGATTGGTAGGGAGAGGAGGCTTTGTAATGATGAATTAAAATGAGCAAGAGACTTTAAGAACCTGAGATGCATTTGGCAGCAAATTGCAGCCTTACTCATCGAGACATCACCTCAAACTCTTTATTAGACAGTCCCAAGAGGCTAGCCTGCAGGCTGTTATCCCTCAAAGTTCCAGATGGACTTGGGATGGTGTCTGCTTGGAACCCAAGATCCAGCATCTGCACCTAGTGACACATGTTATCCAGTGGCATCCTCAACCGCTGTTTCCCAGCTAAAGAGATTTCTATTCCAGGGACTGGAGGAGCTGGAAACAAAAGGACGCTGGAGAGGGATGCAGTCACTGCCCCAGGTGAATAAAGGGGGCTACTGATGCTGAGGTCCTCAAGGGATGAAACAGAGAACAGTTCTCGTCACTCTGCCTGGTTCATCCCTTAACTCCAGTGCCCAAGATGGTGCCCGGCAGGACAAAACTACTCAAGAACTTACATGAGAAGTAATGAATGGTCCAGGCCAGAGACTCCTACTCACAGGGAAAGCTCCCCAGGTACACAAAGCCCTAGAAGAGATGAATCATCCCTGATTCAAAATGCAGATGCCCCAAGTCCCCTTGTCTGAAGTTGGCTTCTGGCATGGACTCAGCTGGGAGTCCCAGTCTTTTGGGTGGGAAAAGAATGACACAGGAAGCAAGTGGAGAGAAGTAGCCAGAGGGTTCCTCCGGCAGGGCAACAAATGCCTGTGGTCTCAGCACCTGAACAAACAGATGTGAAAACCTGCACCCTTCTCTCATGTAGCTTCCCTCTCAACCTCAGTTCTACTCTGCCTCAAAGCACTTCTGGTGGCAGTCTGGGCTGAAGACCATTTTAAAGCCAAAGGGAGGTGTGTTTTGGATCGTCCCTGCCCTGCTCCGTAGGTGGAGATGTTGGAGGGGCCACCCGGAAGCACAGAGTTGCTCCTTCAACCTAGAGTGGGTCTAGCCAGGAGCTTGGGTGGGGATTGGGAGGGATCTAAACCAGCCCAGGACCGCAGGTCTGGAGCTGTGACCCTCCAGGACCCCAGGTCTGGTTCTGCGACTCTCACTGTGTTCCAGGGCACCACGGGCACAGTAACTCCCAGAGCCCTCTGCTCTCCAGCCCAGCTGCCCTGCTCACAGTAAGAGATCAGCTAAGTCCCTGGGGTCCAGCTCCCTCTCTGGACTATGGAAAATGTAGACGGGACAGAGATTGGTGGACAGCAGACCCCAATATGAAGGTGTGGCCCAAGGAGGGTTTATGGAGGCCCTAACCCCTAGGTATCCCTATGGGAAGAATTTCTCATAGGCTCAAAAAGAGGTTCAAAGGAACTCAGATTTGCTCCCTAAACCTCAGCAACTGGATCTGAAGGGCGTGTCAGAGCTTTAAGGAGGTAGTTTTAGGACAAACAAAAGGCGCTCAGAGCAGGGAACAAACTTGCAGCGTGTGAGTCATCCCAGGAGGTTTGGGCTAAACCTGGGGGCTGCTGGGGCCAAGATACTGTGGAGCTGGAGTGAGAACCACCTCCAGACCCAGCACTGGATGTGGTGCTGATGTCCACTAGAGGCACCTTGGATTTTGGGCCTTGGGCATCACCACTCTGCTGGGAACAGGCTGGGAGCCCCCAGGTCAGGCAGGAACTCACAAGGGTCAGGTGCATTTTCTGGGGAAATGGAGCTGGGCCTTGGATGTGAGCACTCTGCATACCTGGATGAAGGGTAGGGTGGGAGGCATGGGGGCCTCTGGTGGCCCAGTGTGTGGACAACTGGCCTTACAAGCCTCAATATTCACAAGGCTCAGCCAGGGTGCTGGGCTCTATCTGTTTTCAGGCATGATGAATCCACACACCCCTTTGCCTTGAAAAATCCAACTACCAGTCTTCCCTTGGCTTCATTTCCTGCATATCAACCCGTGGCACCTGTAACTATGCCGCTGTCCATGACAGAAAGCAAATCTAGTGGCTTCTCCCCTGGTGTTCGTCTGACAGCCTAAAAGAAGTGGTTTTATCAAGTGCACCTTTGGATACACTGACTTTGCCTCCCTTTTGATACTTCCATTCAAGAGCAAAGCCGAATTTAGAAGACTCCAGGGATGGGAAGTCCCCTGTGTGTGGTCACCCAGCTGGTTCCTGGCTTGGACAAGATTGATCTCAGCAGGGAGGTGGGGGAGCAGACACACAGGAACCTCATCCAACCATGTGATTCATGGCTCCCCCTGAACACATCCTGTCCTGGCCAGGTGCAGAGAGTCGCCCAGACACTGGTGTGACTCTGAGCAGGACTGTAGGTCTCAGCTTCGAAGCCTCACAGGGTCACGGAGTCCCTCCCCTGCTACCCACATTGGCAGTGGGTGACGAGGCTCGGAGCCTTAACTTTATTTCTCCTGGGACAGCCTTCAGATTCACTCAGCCCTGCCTGCTTCCCATGAGCGGGGAAGTGTCATTACAGCAAAGGTTGATTGTGTGTGTGTGTGTGTGTGTGTGTGCATGTGTGCATGTGTGTGTATGTGTGTGTGTTGATATGTGACACGCATATCAACTGGTCCACAGAAGTCTTTACCAAGAACTCTCATCCCAAGCCCGACCGATCTCCCAAAATCTGAAAGCAGGGTGAGTCAAGAGTCCACTTACTTGTATTACATGGCAGACAATGCAACAGAAAGCAGGCCATGGGGAGGGCGAGGCTATGGGCAGCTGGGTGAGAGGTGGGGTTGGCACTCCCCTGGGAGGCAGAGCCCACCTCCCCCCCAGCTGCCCCTCAGGTGCCTCCCTTGCCAGGGTTACAGCGCTGGCCTGAATCCCAGGGAACCCTGCCAGGAAGAGCTCTCACTTCCCTCCCACGTTGCCTAGGAGATGCGGCAGCAGCCATGGACCTTCTCCTCCATCTCCTCCATGGGGGCCTTGAACTTCAAGAGTGGGGGATCCCCGCTGGTGACCGTGTAGTACACTGAAGTCCCATTGCTGCTGTACGGGGAAGTTCTGCCTCCGATCAAGGGGGCCTTGCCTTCGCTGCTGCCCTCGGCCGTCCTGACCATGCTGCTGCCCAGGTGGGAGCTGAGGAAGGGGTGGCTCAGGAGCTTGGCCGCTGCCCGTTGTCGCTTCAGCTCCAGAAGCGTCTGGGGGCTCTGCTCCTTGTAGCCGCTCCAAGGTGGGGTGGCATCAACCAGGCCGGGGTTGCCATAGGCCACGCTGTAGTCGGGCACCTCGTGTACCTTCCAGACGTCCCCATTGGACAGCGCATACTGGTAGGTGCTGACAGGAGCCCGGAGGCCATTCTCAACTGGCATGTCCATTTCACTCCGCGGGATTTTGGTAGGAAATTCAGAGAGCAGCACGGGCTTCTCCAGTCTGGGGTTCTGAGAGTGAGAAGAACAGTGTTACCAGCCGGCTAGGGAATCAGGGCCCACCATCCCCTGGCACTTGAACTGAGAGCGGGGCTGTTTGGATAACAGGTGCATCCATTTTCCCTGCTGGGATAACATGAACAAGAGGGAGTGGGGAGGCGAGAAGCTGCTGCCTCACGTCAGTTCTGATGGTGACCCCGCACATGCAGACAGAGCTCCAGAGGGTTTTTCACAACTGAGCTTTCCAAAGTAGGTCAACCAGCCCTTTCTTCTGCGGTACCTCTCTGCACAGAGCCAAGCAGTATAACTAACCATCGGCAGCCACAGATACAGATCGATTTTCAAATTAATTTCTTTTTTGTGATGAGCTACGTATTAGTAAGAGATCCCTGGTGTTGTGGTCTATAGGGACTTGTGCTGCTAAAGCAACACCCTATACACTAGGGACCACGTTCAGAGGTTCAAATCCACCAGCAGCTTCTCAGGTGAAAAGATGGGCAGTTTCTTCCTCTGAGATTTACAGCCTCTGAAAACTCAGTGGAGATTCAGACATGAGTCAGTTCTGACTCGACAGCAGTGAGCGAGTGAGGGACGTATTAGAGCACGTTGACTACTTGCTTCTGGTGGAAGGTGGCCTATTTTTAGTTGGTTTTTAGCTCTCTCCTCCATCGTTATTGACTCAGAACAAACTCACAGCTGACCTCCACTGCAGTTTTCAAGGCTGTAAACTGCATGAGTAGAGATTGCCCAGCTCTCTCCCAGGGGGCTGCTGGTGGATTCAAGCCACTTGAGAGATGCAGGCTGGCGACCTAGGGGTAAGAAGCTGTGCTGCATGCAGTTCACCAGCTGCTCTGAAGGAGGATGGGCTCCTGCCTCCCTCTGAAAACCCTCTGGAGCTTAAGTTGGTTCCAAATGGAAGGGACACAGTAACAATGATGGGCTATGCCTCCAAACTCACAACACACACACACACACACACACACACACACACACACACACACACACTTGTTGTCAGGGGCCGTACAGTGTAATTCATAGAGACCCTACGAAGAATAGCTCTGAACCCTGTCCTATCCTGTGCCATCCTCCTCATCTCTGACACACTTGAGCCCACTGCTACAGTCCCTGGGTCACTCCATCGTGCTGGGGATTTTCCTCTTTTTCACTGACCCTCCAACTCCCCAAGCATGATGCTCCTTTCTAAAGAATGGCATCTCCTAGCAACATGCCCCAAGTATTTGAAACAAAGCTTAGCCATCCTTGCCTCCAAGGAGAATGTTGGCTGCACTTTTTCTAAGATGTATCTGTTGTTTTGGCCGTCATGTTGTTGTTGTTGTTGTTGTTATGTGCCGTTGAGTTGCTTGCGACTCATAGTGACTCTATGTACAATAGCCCTAAACTCTGCTCTGTCCTGTGCTAGTCGCACTGTCTCTGACACTCCCATCCCGATTATCCCAGTCACTGAATCAATCCACCTCATAGAGGGCCTTCCCCTCCTGCGCTGTCCCTCCACCCTCCCAAGCATGATGTCCCTCTCCAAGGACCGGTCCCTCCTTGCAGTCATAAACATGTAATATTCAAGCATCCTAATAATTAATGACATAAAATGAAAACAACCAATTTCTATTTTTTTCCCTATTGCACCAGCAGATATTGGGGGAGGGAGAGCTTATTATTCAGTGTTGGCAAAGGTGTGGACAAACGGGTGGGAGGGTGAGCTGCCAAGACAGCGCCTCTGCAGGACAATTCAGCATCATGCATGAATGTTTAAAAAGGAAAGCGAGGAGAAAGTGCACTTGTAAGAATGGGCGCTCTGCACCATTCATTACCCCACAGGTAACACCTGCTTAGGGGAGCGAAACCTGAAAGGAAGCTCCGTGTTATCTTTAGGGAAGCGGTGAACTAATGCAAGTGCTGGTGCTAAAATAGTCTGCAGTTGTAAGAAAGAGAGAAAAGAGACGGTAGACGAAGCTCTGGTGCCCTAGTGACAAGAAACCACGCTGGAGATGGGAGGGCAATGTCCTGTGCCAGTCGGATATGATTCGATGGAAGAATAGAAGAAGGAAGGAAGGAAGGAAGGAAGGAAGGAAGGAAGGAAGGAAGGAAGGAAGGGAGGGAGGGAGGGAGGGAGGGAGGAGAAGATAAAAGGAAGGAAGCAAAGATGGATAGATGGAAGAATGGATGGAAGGATGGATGGATGGATGGATGGATGGATGGATGGATGTACAGTTGGACAGAAGCAAGCAAACAAGCAAGAAATCTGCTGTGCTAACCTGGTAAGAACCTAAACCCCCATGCTCTCAATTCCAACTCAGAATGACCCTGGTGGACAGCACAGAGCTGCTCACAGAGTTTCTGAGGTGATAATTTTGTTGTTGTGCAGAGTTTCTCTAAAAATAAATTTTTAACATTGCAGTTTCAATTTCACTCATTCACAAACATTTTTGTAACACTAATTACACTCAATTAACATAACCAGTTGCAATGTCTGATCAACCTCTTACTGTCTATCACCTTTCCCCTCACCCAATTGATCTATTTCCCCTCAGCCCAATTGAACCACCTTTTTGGGGTGGTTTAAAAAAAAATTTCTTATTTTTGTGTGTGTACCGTCAAATCAGATCTGACTGGTACAGGAGGAGACTGCCCTTCCTTCTCCAGGAGAGCATCTGGTGGATTCGAACCTCATACCTCTGGGATTGCAGTGCAGTTATTTACTACTTTTGACTTCCCTCTCTCTCCCTTGCCATTCCTGCCCATCAAGAAGGATTCTATGGACGTGTAAAACTTTGCTGAGCTTTTTATAATAATGGTCTTGTAATAGTCCTTTCATGATGGACTTATTTTGCTTAGCATAGTGTCCTCTGGGCCATCTGTGTCATGTAGTTCTCTCTGAATTCTTTCCTGGCTTTTGGTGTTGCAGAGTGCTCCTCGGGGCAGATGCACCATCATTTCTTCACCATTTCGTCCACTGACTGACACCTGGATTTCCCCATCTCTCCTGCTGTTGTAAATAATGCTGCAGTGAGCATGCGTGTGCACAGATCTGTGTGTAAGAATATAAAGGCTGAGAGAGGCAGACTGCTTCATCTCATTCCCGTGGAGCAGACAGTGGGCTTAAATCACTGACCTTTGGGTTATCTGCCCAATTCTTTAACCTCTGCACCACCAGGACTCCTTGACATGGAAAAAGCTCCAAGAAATATATAGTTAAAATATAGTAAAGCGAGTGGCAGTTTTCATTGGAAGTTTTAGTGTGTGTGTGTGTGTGTGTGTGTGTGTGTGTGTGTGTGTGTTCTTTCTTTTGTGTGTGTGTGTGTGTGTTCTTTCTTTTGTGTGTGTGTGTGTGTGTTCTTTCTGAACTTTGCAGTCAGAGTGATGAACAGATGCTCAGCGGTCCAAGTTGGCACATCCCAAACTTTCATTCAAGTCCTGTAAGGACTCAGCAGGTCTGTACCATGGCCAGATATTCAATGTTTTTTTTTAATAAAAGCTCCCGCCAATGCTCTTTTGTGTACCAAAGATTCAAGGCGAAGGTTACCAGCCTTGGCTGCACACAGGGAGCACCCAGAGAGTTAAGTATACAGGTACATGATGTCTGGGCTTCACCCTAGGACTTGGACTCTATCGCTGAGATTGCAGCCTGGATACTCAGGATTAAAACTAAACAAAACATCTACTCTGTGGTTTGATTATGCAAGTAAGTTTAAGAAGCATGGGCAGAGACTGAGCCTTACTTATCACTGTCGAGCCTAGAACGAGGGAGGCCTCTCTACCAAAAAGGTGTGCTAAAGCCAGCACCAAGGGAGCTTACAAAGCCTTGGTACAAACCTCGCCTGGAAAACCAGCTGAGCAAATGCTCCCTTAAATAAAAACCCCAAACCCACTGCCATCAAGTTCATTCCCACTCATACAGCCATCTACTGAGTTTCCCAGGCTACAGATCTTTCTTGAATCAGAAGGGAGTATCCTTCTCCATCAGAGTAGCTGGTGGATTTGATCTTGTGGTTAGCAGTCCAACAAGTAACGGGCTATACTATAACGGACTAATAATCACCTGGAGGTCTTCTTTGAACACCCACCGCTGGATTCCAGCCCCCGGTGTCAGATTCAGAAGGTCTGGCTGGGGCTTGAGAATCTGCATGTCTAACAAGTGCCCAGGTGATGTCAAGGCTGCTGGCCCAGGGACCACACTTTGAGAATCCCCACCTGAGAGACTGTTGCCTTATTTTAGTCCCTTAAAAGCCTTGAAAGGGACAGGGAAGAAAAAGGAACGGGCTTTGAGCTTGGCAGTGTCCTAGGATCTTGTGCCTTTGAAATCTGAGGCAGGAACCTGGGACCCTACACCCGACAGATGCCCTAGGACCAGATACCTGGATTGAAGGACGACCTGCCTTTAGTCACACCACATCTGTAGCCTTTCTTTTTCTCCTCAGGTCTGAACCCCCAGCTTCAAAGGCAAAATAATTTATCTTGCCCTCACCAAGCTCAAACTACAGCCTACCGAAGCAGCCCTAAATGTTAAAAATAAAAATGAGGTCTAGATATTGGTGGTTCCTAGTAGCCCTGTCCTCCTATCCCACTCTCCCTACAGGGCTGAGATTTAAGAGACTCACATCAAGGAGCACTTCTAGGGAAGCCTGTGAGGACTGAATGAGCAAAACGATAAAGCAAGAGGGGTGTTCTCTTAAGGATTTCTTTAAACACTGTCTCTCCTACAAATCAGGAAGAACACAACAACAACGACAAAAAGATGAGGAGATGCGGCCAAAAAGAGCATCGGCCACCCAGCACTTGAAAACATGCTTAACACCATCCATCCTGAATGCAATACAACCATGTAAGTGAGATATAAGTGTATCAATATATCCAACCTGAGTTAAATACAAGTGCATCAACACCATCCATCCTGAAGGAGATACAAATGTATGAACACCTTCAATCCTGAGTGAGATACAAGTGTATCAACACCATCCATCCTGAATGAGATACAAGTGTATAAACACCATCTATCCTGAGTGAGATATAAGTGTATCAACACCATCTATCCTGAGTGAGATACAAGTGTATCAACACCATCTATCCTGAGTGGGAAACAAGTGTATCAACACCATCCATCCTGAGTGAGATACAAGTGTATGAACACCTTCAATCCTGAGTGAGATACAAGTGTATCAACACCATCTATCCTGAGTGGGATACAAGTGTAAAGTGCAAGCTATCCCAGCAGCCCCATCAAGCATGGCTCAAATTCAAAGGACAGATGAACCAAATGATCCCCAGCTTCCGTATCCTGCAGATGAGAGATCAGACTGGTATAACCTCTTTGGATAATTGCTTGACTGTATCTATTAAAGCTAAACAGATGCCCAACCCCAAGACCCACATCGCTTTCTCAAGAACAGCTTAACAGACAATAGTGCTACAGCCATAAAATCATCTAGATAAGAACTTTCATAGTTAACTGTATTCCTAAGAGCCCCAATCTGGGAGAAAACTCAAATGCCTATCAGTTGGAGTATGGATACTGGTGTTGTGGTATAAACAAACACTAGAACGCTACAGAACAATGGAAAGAATAAGCTCTGAGCACTTCCTAGATTATAGAGTTCTCACTTATGGATCGCCTCTACATGTCCTTATTGTTGTTAGGTGCTGTCGAGTCAAATAGCAACCCTAGGAACAAGAGACCTGAAGCCTGTTCTATCCTGTACTATCCTGATCTCTGACATAGCCATGCTGTTGTTAGACGTCATTCAGTCAATTCCAACTCACAGTGACCCTGCATATCACAGAATGAACACTGCCCAACCTCTCACCATAATCATCATTGTCGCTATGCCTGAGCTACTGTGTCAATCTCTCTCTCAATGTCTCTCACACACTTTGCCATCCAGTCGGAACCGACTCATCGCAGGTTTCGGGGGTTATAAATCACATGGGAGGAGACTGCCTATCTTTCTCCCAAGGAGAAGCTCGTGGGTTTGAACCACTAGAGAGACGCAGCTCCCTGTGGACTGACTTTACCCTCACTTTGAAAAGCCTGAACCAATCCCTGCTCAAAACAGATTCATCTCCATCACCTTCCCTTGCTGTGTGTGCAGCTTTTAAATGATGCAGAAGACTTTGAGCCTTTTTTTTTCTTTTGCCCTAAAGTAAGGACCATATACAGTGTGTTGACTTAACTAAAAATTCTTAAGACACAATTAGGAATGGATCTCGTTCATGACCTGGGGGACTTCCAGTACTACCACCACTGGACGGACAAATCCCACAGATGTAAAAGCAGCCAATCACAAAAGGCGACACATGGAACAAAGTTCTAGAGCCGACAAAACAAATCTCTAAAGTTAAAAGTCAAAATAGAGGTGACCATTGGTGGGCAAGTAGGAGGAGGGGGAACAGGGGAGCTTTCTGGGGTGATGGAAATGTCATATATTTTCATCTGGGTGGTGGCTACACAGCTGTGCACATTTGTAAAAATGCAAGGAACAAATTCACTTAAGAGTCATCTACTTTACTGCGCATTAAGTTACACTTCAACCTCAAAGAAGATAACAAAGCCTAGCTGGGAGGCATCGGCCAGGCTATTTGATTTCGATTTAGCCTCCTTTCCTCTCCAATGCTCGAGCTTAGGGACTAGGCAGAAGCGAGCCTCCACATGCGCCCTACTTGGCAGCTTCCGTGAGGATCCCCATCAGCAGCTTTCTTCTCTTCTGTTGCTGAGACAGGTCTGCATGCAACCTGCTTTGCACTGGGAAGCAAGCAGGGTCCCACAGGGATATGCTGCACTCTGGAAAGACACCACTTTATAACCTGCCAGAGTGACACTCACTAGAAATGTATCCAGCTAATCAGTATGTGGTGGGGGCGTCAGAAAAACCATGGCTTCTAGTCAACCTACTCTCCTCTGTCGCCAGCAATTCTCTCCCGTGAACATGCCTTCTTCCTTCAGTAAGACAGCAGCCCTGCATGAGCCTGTACTGCGTTGAACAGTGTCTCTCAAAATCCAAGCCCAGCCAGAACCTCACAAAATGACCTCCTGTGGAAATAAGACTACGCTGACGTAGCTCAGTGAATTACGATGAGGCTAACTGGCTAAGAACAGATACATGGCAAGAAATATTGAGAAGACTTGGGTGGACTTTTGGGATGCGGTTCACAAATTCTTAAGACACAATTAGGAATGGAAAGTTTTACAAAGTTTTCCTTTGTAATGAGCTGTGATGACCTCTGTTATGAGCGGCTGCCTCCCATCAAATATTTTAAGATAAAAGAAACTTTTAAAATAAAATAAGACATTTGAAAAAAGGAAAAAGATGCAGTCCAACTGAAGGAGAAATAGCCCTAATCCAATAACTGGTGCCATTACAAGAAAACAAAACAGACATATACACACACAAGGAAAAAGCCAGGTAAAGACGGAAGCAGAGACTGGAGTTAGGCTACCACAAGTCATGGTTGGGGGTTAGGGGGTGGTTTAGCAGAAGCTAGAAGAGATGTATCTGATGGGCACTCCCAGAAAGAACCAATCCGCTGACCCTTTGACTTTGGATTTCTGACCTCCAGAGCTGTGGGAGATTTCTGCTGTTCTAAGCCAACATGTTTGTTGTAATTTGTTACAGCTGCCTTAGGACACTAACACTCTATTTAAATAGAAGCTATTTAAATCCCAGGACTGCTGGCAGCTACTGGAGCAGGCTTCTCTGGGGTCCTACCAGCTCTCTATGAAAAGTTCTCCCATCACCAAACAAATGGATAGAGAAGCTGTTGTATATTTACACAATGGAATACTAGGCTGCATTGAAAAACAAGGAACTCATGCAATATTATGCAAAATGGGTGACTCTGGAGGATATTACGCTGAGTGAAATATCTCGGTCACAAAAGGACAAATACTGCATGATGCCACTGTTGTAAAACAGGACTGAGCTTGGGGTTGGGAAGAGACTGAGAAAGATGGTTTCAATAATGTACACTGCATTGAAACAGATGAGGGAGAAAACGTTTTAAAAACGATATGTGATTAGGTATTTTTGTCATGACAGGAGTCTAGAGCAAAGGCTACATGGTGGAATGGACCTGGGGGAGGGTTTGTAAAACAATGAAAGAATTTGTCTTTTACTTTTCCAAGAGGGTAGTGTACTAGTGGGGAGAGTTGGGAAAGGAGAAAAGTGCAACAATGAATGAATGGAAATCCAAAATCTCTATAAATTTTTACTGAAATTAATAATAAATTAAAAAAAAGAAAAAGAAAAGCTCTTCCAACAAGATAAGCAAAACACAAAGAAACAGGTTCATGTCCTTGGATCTCCAGGCGGCGGCCCTGCTGGCCTTCTTCTGGGACACCCAAAACTAGATCTACTGGGACCCAAGACGACCTGTACCTGCTCCTTGTCAACTAGACACCCTAGTGTGCCAAAGTGCCCAGCTCTGATTCGAAACACTCGTTGAGTCTCGAAACACGCTTAGGGTCACTTACTGACTACACTGGTCACTGGGTACTGGTGGGTTCAGAGCACGACCCAGCTACTCTCCCTCTAACGCTCTGAGATGAAGGACCAAGATCAAGCTCACACTCTCTCTTTCTCCCAAGGCAGTGGCTGGCACTGGGAAAGGACAGGAGGCCACTTACTGGATCCTTGTTCTCCTGGTCCGTCCTGGTCTCCCTGATGTCCCCATTGTAGGTTGATGTCCGCTGGTCCTCAGCTGCACTCCGCTGCTGCCACAGGATGGCCTCGCCCTCGTACTCCTTCCTGTACAGGTTGGTCCTGTCCGACAGGCTGGCTCGACGCACCACCTTCCTGAGGGGACAGAGGGGATGCAGGATGGCTTGTGCCTGGAGGCCACAGGTGGAGCGAGCACGAGAAGCCCTGGCCTCCCGGCGCCAACTTACCCCCGGCTGCCCGTGCTGGACGTCCTCCGGCTCAGGGACGACTTGTGTCTCAGCTGGGACTTCATGATCACGTCATGCTTGTGTTTCAGCTCCAGAAGCAGGACTTTGAATTCCTCTTCCTCACACAGGTCTGAGGGGGAACAGAGGAGCCAGTGTGAGGGAAGGAACCAGGAGAGTGATCAGATCAGGAGACCGGTCACTCCAGTCCCCCTAAAGGTCCCTCAATATCAGCCTTACCTCCAGGTTACAACTCAAGACTTAAAGGGAAATAAATCCATGTTTCATGTACAGTACAGTTCCTCCTAAGGTTCCCAGTTTAGACCAAGTAACTCTGGTACTTTTGACTATTCCTATTAGAAGTCATCAAACCACCAATGAAAAGAAAGGTATTAAAAAAATCCCAAGTAGGTAGATAACTCTGGCAATAAGAAATGTGAGGACACACCCAAAATCCAGAACCTGCACCTACTCTCCCTACTTAACTCCATCTACCTCCTTATGAGCCCAGTGTTCCATCCATACACTTCTGCTCTATCCATCCATGCATCCCTCCCTCACCCATCATCACATTTACTGCCTACTCGTACCCATCAATACATCCACAATCCACCAATTTATTAATCTACTTATCTATTCATTGCCTAGATCTTTTTTCTGTGGCCCTCAGGCCTGGTTTTAATTGTTTTTTGTCAAACATTCTTCTAAGTAGTATAGCACTGGTCTGCCTACTTGCCGTACAGAGGCAACTCATGGTTGCTGTGATGCTAAACACTGTGACACTCATATGTCAAACGTGATAATGGTTATCCATGGTGGGCAGTGTTTGGTGGAGCTCTATGATTAAAACAAGCTTGGAAGCAGGAGTGGCATCCACTTCCAAAATGGCTTGCCTCCAAAAACTCTATGAACAGTGGTCAGGTCTTTTCGTTCATAGGGTTGCTGTGAGTCATCTACGACTCGATGGCACTTAACTATAACAATGACAAGACAGAGAGAGCTACATTGGCCTAGTGGACAGAAAATTATGCTACCAAGCCCAAGGTGGGTGATTTTAATCTGCGGCCCTCAGTCCTGGTTGTTGCTTTTTGTTGTTGTTTTTTGTCAAACATTCTTCTAGGTGGTATAGCACTGGTCTGTGCATTGCTGTACAGAGGTAACTCGTGGTTGCTGTGATGCTAAACACTGTGACACTGATGTGCTAAATGTGATAATGGTTACTCATGGTAGACAGTGTTTGGTGGAGCTCTCCGATTAAAACAAGCTTGGAAGCAGGAGTGGCATCCACTTCCAAACTGGCTTGCCTCTGGAAACTCTGTGAACAGTGCTCAGGTCTTTCATTCATAGGGTTGCTATGAGTTGTCTACGACTCGATGGCATTTAAGAGCAACAACATATCTTTTTCTATAAATCCACTTGTCCATTTACCAGGAAACCATGTATTAGTTTATTCATTGTTCCATCTACCAATTGACCCATCAGTCCACTAATGTACTTGACCAAATATTCATCCATTCATTTCTTCATTGGAACAAAAGGGCGAGGGCTGATGAGGTACCAGGCCTAATGCTAGACTTACCTATTGGCATCTCATCCATGGATGTCCTCGCACTGAGACTGGCCCCATGTGATACGAGGAGCTCTGCCATCTGCATCTGAAACGCAAGAAGAAGCCCCAGTTACTTTTTCCAGGACTCAGAGAAGTGCAGGAGGTGGAGAATGCAGGCAAGGTCTCCCAGGAAGTAATCCAAGGAATGATGGAGCAAGGTTGATTGTCAAGGTTGATTCCTACACCCTGGAACTATGGTGGGAATCCAGGCAAATGGAATGGCCATATGGCATTGCAGCTTCTCCAGGAAGGCTTCAGTGAAGTCAAGCATCAGATAAAGGGGTTGCTTGTGATGATTCTAAACCTGTCACATATTAAAGGAGGACTTGTGTGGGATGCAATCAGAATTTCCTATCAAGAGAGGAAATGGACAAACTCAACACAGAAACACTGAACGTTTTCTAGTTTTGCAGCCGTGATTTTCATCATGTTTGTATACAATCTATCCAGTGCTTTTACAAATGCTTGAGGTCTTTTCATATCCTGACTATCGTCAACACCTGAAGTGGATCTGGTGCTTCTCTTGAACCAACTGGTAGCCCACAGGACTTGGCGACAGCAAGCTGACCCTGTCATGCCCTGCTCCAGAGCAGTGTGTGTGGGGGGCATTACCTGTCCCCAAAAGGCAGCTGCGTGCAGAGGCTCCCAGCCGTCCCAGTCCTTCACATCCACACGCACTCCGTGGTCCAGGAGGAGCTCAGCGGCCCGCAGGTATCCATTGGCTCCGGCTATGTGCAGCTTGAAGAGAAGGAAGACATGAGCATTCCTTTGTGGGGCTGGCCTCACACTGAAAGCTCAAGCATCGCCCTCCTCTGTCCAGACCCCAGCACACACTTGGAGTCAAGAGAACAGGAGAGAATGAGAATATCCAGTAGAAAAAAAAATCAAATACCCGCCTGCCACATTACAGAGGATCAGTGCATCTAAAATATGAACCTAGGAGGGAAAGCAGTGCGGTGACCTCTTCTCTCCTACAGTTGACTTTAGAACCCAGATAATTACGACGATGTTTACTGAACTCCTACTACATGCTGCTTAGACCTAAAGGAAGAAATCTCAGAGCTCTACTATGGTAGTTGCGAAGTCTGTCTATGAATTCTTTCATGCTCCTTCCTCTAAAAGATACAGTCTGTCCCTGGGTGGTACCAATGGTTAATGTGGTTGCCTGGTAACAAAAAGACGGAGCCTGATTACTTTTGAAGTAGTTTGGACTGAGGGACTTACTTCTAACAAATAGGCTACCTGTATGATTTTGTGTGTGTGTGTTCTATTCTTTTTTTTTTCTCTATTCTTTTTTTAAGCTTTATTTTTTTTGTGTGTGTGTATGTACCATCAAATCAGATATGACTGGTACAGAAGGAGATTGTCCCTCCCTCTCCAGCACAGCATCTGGTGGATTCAAACTGCACATCTCTGGGATTGCAGTGCAGCTTCTTGCCATTAGGCCACCGGAGCTCACCAAGGTGTATGATTTTTTGAGCCTAGGTCATCCAGGACATTTCTGCTTGTATTTTATACTTTCTTGGGTATCTTGTTCTAGGGGAAGACATCGGCCATGTTGGGAGGACACGTGCATAAACTTGAGGAACAAGAAACGGAGGCTTCCTGCCAACAGCCAAGACTCACTTATCAGCTATGTAAGCGGGTCATCTTGCAAATAGTCTTTTCTTCTCAAACTTTCAGTTGGATGCAACCTTGGCCAACACCCTGACTGCAACCTCACGAGATCCTCCTCCAAGGAATTTGGCTGATCTGCTCCTAATGCTTTAACCCAAAGAAACTTTGGGATAATAAATTGTTTGCTGTTGGGTTGAGATGTGAGTCCTACGCAGCAACAGATAACTAATATATTCAAATACAGGAAAGCCCCACGCACAAGTCCTGGCTCTTCTGCCTGGTACTGTTCAAGGCTTCCAGTTACGGTCACCTTGCAGACACCGACTGTCCTGTTAGTTCAATGGTGAAAATGTAAGTTCCTATCCTGAGCTCTGGTGGCGTAGTCTGTAGGGAGTTACGCCGGTAAACCCAAAGGTGGCGCCTCACTGGTGGTTCAAACCCAGCAGAGGCTCCTCTGGAGAAAGATGGGTCATTTCCTTCCATGTGATTTTTGTTGTTGTTAAGTGCCGTCGAGTCGCAGGTGACTCATAGCGACCCTATGAAGGAGAGTCCTCGATGCTTGGGTGCCTTTCATCCTCTCTCCAGGTTCATAGGGTTTCCGGAGGCAAGCTATTATGGAAGTGGATGCCACTCCTCCTTCCAAAATCTCTCAAAAATCTGCTGGAGGCTTTTCTGTAAACTTTTGTTAAAATGACAATTTAAATTAAAAAATTTATTTAAAAAAATCTGATGCACACCCATGTTTATGGCAGCTTTGTTCACAACAGCCAGGAGTTGGAAACAACCTAAGTGCCCATCAAGAAACGAATGGATAGAGAAGCTGTGGTATAGTCATACAATGGACTACTATGCGACATTGGAAAACAAGGAACTCATGCAATATTATTCAAAATGGGTGACCATGAAGGACATTAGGCTGAGTGAAGTATCTCAGTCACAAGAGGACAAATACTGCATGGTGCCATTGTTAAAACAGGACTGACCTCGGAGTTGTGGGGAGACTGAGAAAGATGGGTTAAATAATGTACACTGCATTGAAACAGATGAGGGAGAAAACTGTTTAAAAGGGATATGTAATTAGGTATTATTGTCAGGACAGGCGTCCAGAACGAAGGCTGCATAATAGAATGGACCTCTGGGGGGAGAGGTTGTATAACAATGAAAGAATTTTTACTTTTCAAAGAGAAGAGTGTACTGTACTGCGGGGAGGGGTGGGCAGGGACAAAGGTGCAACAATGAATGAATGGAAAGCCAAAGTCTCTGTAAATTTTCATTGAAATTAATAAAAAAAAACCCCACAACTAAAAAAAAAATCTGCTGAAGGGTCAGCAGAGTTACCCAGGCAGATGTGACAGGGAAGAAGGATTCTGAGAAAGCATCTGGCATGGAGGGAAAAAACCCCAAAATCAGATGCCATCAAGCTGATGACCACTCATAGTGACCTCAAGTATGTCAGAGGAGAAGTGTGCTTCAGAGGGACAGATAGCTGGGCTTGTCTTCTGAGGTATATTTGTGGGGGTTCAAGCCCCCATGTTTTCAGTGAGTAGTCAGAAGTTCAACCAGTTTCTCAGGGACTGAGGGGTTCATGAAGTGCTTGTCAACAAGAAAGGAAGGAGGGTGAGGAGGATGTGAGGGGCAGATGAAAGGACCAAGGGGTGGATGGAACACTGGGAATATCTGGATTCTGAAGTCAGGAGACACACTTGCAGCCATGTCAGAAAGAGCTGACGGGGCGAGGCAGTTACGGAAGTGAGAGGAGATGCGCCCCTGAGGCAGGGAATGGACAGTCCAAGGCAAGGCGAGGTGGGCGAGTGTTTAAAGGGTAGTGCTGGCCCCTGAGAGAGGTGGTATGGCCGTAAGAGGGGAGAAGCAATGAACTTGGGATCAGAAACCAAATCCTGAGAAGAAAGAGAAATCTGGGGAATCCAGAGAAAGACAGGCACGTCAAGCCTCTCTCAACCAGAGTTCTTGGCTCCAGTCTCAGCTAAGAGTAGCAGGTCCTCAAAGAGTCTGATCCCTGTTCCGGGAACCCTCATTATTCTCAGAACCACCCTGGCCCTGCGCAGATCTGGAGGAGGTTCTCGGCCACAGACAGGCTATGACTGTCTCAGTGTGGTCCCCACTAAGTGCTGGCCCACCTCAGCCCGGACTGGCCTTGATTCTGGCAATGGTAACCCAGCCCAAACCAGCCCAGTTCATCTCCTCACCAGCGTGGCTCCCTGGGCATCTATCCAGTCAAGGTCCTGGCCAGCTGCGATCATACAGTGGATGTCCCCAATCATCTTCTGTTCGGGTGCTGACCGCATCTCATTGATCTTCTCTTGGGTGATGCCTGTGATGGAGAAAAGAGAACTTAAGTCACTGCTCTCAGGCCTAGACCCTAACAGGAAAGGGAAGGACAGAGGAAGGAGGGTGTCTTCCATTCCCCAGCGTCTGCCAGTCAAAGGGACAGACAGACACGCTCCTAGATCACTCTGCTGCCAGGTCTGATAAACACAAACGCCACATGCTGACCACAGAGTGAGGGTCATTCGCCTGGCACCCAGCAGACACTGGGCAAGAGACACCTGTTACTCTCAGCAGGGTAGGATTCTACCTGGAAACGCCAGGCATCTGCAGCCACCTCCAACCTCTCCACCGGCCGGCTCTGCTTCATCCTCGAGGTCCCAGCTGGGACCCTCTCCCAGCAAGCCTCCTGACCCCTGTCTCATCAAGGTCTCTCTTAGTTTCCACCACACCTTGCAAGCTTGAATGTCTTTTTGTTGTCTTATTTTTGGCTCAACTTCCCCGTGCTTCACGAGGCTTGAAAAGCATGTGTTCACAGCCCTGGGCATGAGGTGCCAGGCATTTTGGCTGCAACAGTAATGGAATTCTTGAATCCATAACTTTCTTTTTTTTTTTTTTATCTTGATGATTTTAATTCTGAGTCACTCTAATTCCCCTGAATTCATAACTTTCAAATGAAGAGCTGGGTGAGTGGAGATGGCAGGATGCAGAAAGACATTTTCTAGCCCGGAATCCCTGACAAAATTTAGGCATTTCTGGCAGGTTCTGATGATATTTAAGGAGAAGAGTAACATAACAGGCTCTGAAAAGGGACTACACTTAGAAGGAGAATTCAGGAGAGGTCTGTAAACTAAGTGAAAAAGAAAGCATCTTGTGTGTATTACTTTCGCTAATCTTTAAATGAATTTACCATTTCAATGTAGGCGAAGCCCACAGTTTTTCTTTCTCTCTAATTACCAATGAGGGGAACCAACTCACAGGTGACCCTGTTGTTGTTGTGCACCAGAGTCCACAGCTGACCCTCCAGCAGGTTTTCAGACAGTAAAACTCTTGAGAGTTGATTTCCCATCTTTCTCCTGTGGAGCAGCTGGTGCTGGTGGATTTGAACTCCGTACCTCTGCATTAGCAGCACAATTCCTTACCACTAACCTTCAAGAGCCCCCCCCCCCATAGCTGACCCTAAGAAGCTGTGAATTTCATGGTAGGCGACTGACCGTCCTTCTCCCTGGAAGCTGCTAGTAGATTCGAACTGCCAAGAGAGGGCTTTGGGGTTAGCCACACACAGCTACAGATGACACCACCAGCCTACAGTCGTATCAGCAAAACAAAAATAAAACGACCAAAGAGCCCACTTCCCTCAAAGGCTTGCCAAGGCTGAGAGTCTTTGTAGAAGCAGACCACCATGTCTTTCTCTGTGGAAAAACTGGTGGATTTGAACTGCTGACCTTGTGGCTAACCTTCAAATGCTTTAACCACTGAGTGACTGTCACCAACACAGCATAGTTATTTCCGTTATCCTATAATCTTATTGCTTAAAAAATGAACAAAAGTCTGGCCCACCCACTTAAAAATCATCTTGGTAGTTACATGGGCGGTGGGAGGGGGGCGGGGAATTGTCTTCCTTTATAATTGTACAAGTTCAAAACTTCATTAAAAAACATTTTCTTGAGAAAGGGGCTGGAGATTCGCCAGATGGGCACCTGGATGGCTAAGGACCGACCTCTGCGGAAGCGGGAAAGGCTAGGCCCTGGGTGGGCGAACAGGGCTGCCGCATCGGTGGTAACTGCTAGGATCTGGCAGGAGAAGTATTTCAGGGACTCAGTACCTGGGGGCTGTAGGCCAGCGAGGAACTGGACTCCAGAGCTCCGGGTGGGTCTCTAGAAGTGAGTGTGTGCTGGAGGGAGGACAGGCAGGCCCCTCTGACTACTACATTTGTTTCCTCTCTGAATCTCATTTGGGAGCCATGAACAGCCCACGTCTTGTTTATCTGGGCCCTGGCAGCCAGCGTGGTGCCTGGCACAGAGCGGGCCCCGCAAATGTTCTTGATTTTGTATTATTTTCCCAAATGAGAATACGTCTTTATTGTGCATGTTGACTGAATCGGATTGTTCCAGCTGACGAAGAGGAGACAGGGCCAGCTGAGGCCGCCCGCGTGCGGGGGTGACGGAGGAATGATGTCTCCTCCGCACAGCCCAGCCCGCACCGTGGTGACCACGCAGCTAGCGTTACTCATCAGAGCTTGCCCGGGGTGCTGGGTGCTCGGCACGCGGGAGGGGCGGGACGCGAGCGCACGAATGCACCAGCATTCCTGTGCAGTGACGCCCACCACAGCGCCCCCGGCACGTGGGACGCCCGCTTACCCTGATAGGCCATGCAGGTCTCAATGACATCCAGGGTAGACTCATCATCACAGAGGTCGTACGGCATGTTCCCGTCGGAGTTGACAGCAAGCAGGTCGGCCCCACTGTAGGCAAACGGAGCGGGTGAGAGCCAGGGAGGGGTGGCTAGGGTGGACAGGGCTGCCTCTGACCTTTGCCCTCTTACTCATAACCTCAGGGTACACCCTAAAGGTGAGGGTCAGCGCTGGCAGAGTGAGCACAGAAGCCTTGTGGTTGTGGAGGCCCAGGTTGGGGGGGGGGCGTCTAAAGTCTCAGAAGAGCTATTGCCAAAGACCTCAGCTTTCTGCTCTGCTGAACAAGCAGACAGACCCTTGAAGACAGATGCCAAAATCCTCCCCAGTGACAATGACAGAAACAGTAGTGACTGGAGCAGCCCCGTCCACCAGGACCCTGGTCACAGCCAGTCCTGGTGCAAGTCCTTCACCTCATCATCTAATTTAATCCAGTGGTCCTCTGGGGCTGACTCTGTTGGCCACATCTCACTCCAGGTGAAAGAGAGGCTCAGAGAGGCTTGGTCATTGGCCCGAGGTCACACAGCTAGGACACGGTCATGATTCAAACTGACCTCTCATGTGCCAGCCCCTTCCACATTTTTATATTCTGTGTCAGTCTTCCGCACACATGCAGAACCAGATCTACTCATCCTCCACCTCTCCATCCAATTCCCTGCCCAAAAGGCTGATCAGACAAAGGGCAGGATACAGCTGTAGGGCTCCCTGGACAAGCTGCCCTCTGTCTGGGTCCGTGGTTCTCGGTCATGGTCCCTGCCCCAGGGATCCACTAAAACAGCTTCCGGAGCTCACTCCAGATATCTAAGAGTCTCAGGGGTAGGACTGGGAAAGATGTGCTTTAAAGCTTTGCCCCAGGTAGTTCTGGTACAGATCAGCATTACAGACCCACTATGCCAGGTTGCCCCCAACCCCTTGTCATTTGGGCACTATCATTAATCTGTCTGTGGCCACTTGATGCTCCCAGGCAATCTAGTACATCCAGGTTGCATTTAGAAAATAAGTCACCAGGCAGGCTTTTTGGTCACTATGACCTGTCTGACCTGGGGCAGAAGAACTGTCAACTCCATTCCATGCCCAAACGGCCACCCACAGGGCTTTAAGTGCTCCATCGAGCCCCCAGCAAAAGCTTGTCTGTGTTCAGTCTCGACTTCTGCATCCCTGCACTCAGACCCTCCCCTCAGCCTGTGGAACCAGCCTGCTGGTCTCCCCCGTCACCCCCCCATCCCACCCCCGTGTCTGGTCTCTACGTGGCTCTGATGTCACCTCATTTCCTGTCTGTCCCTGCATCTCTCTGGTCAGCATCAGGGCCTTAAGTTATTAGCATAATCCAATAAACACCCCTGAAATTGAATATTGTCTTTTCTGTGTGATTACAGAATCTGAGCAGATGAGAAAGGATCTCAGGCTGGGAAAGGGCATTTGGAATGGTTCCACAAGAACATAGCTTTAACCCTGGAAGACACAGTTGTGTGGGGTCCCCAAAGCAGGTTCTGGCCCCCTGACAGGATATTGGGAGGGAGCAGAGTGAAAGGCCTACGATGGCTAGTTTTGTTTGATGTGGTAATGACAGAAGCAGAGACGGCAGAAACATAAAGAAAGAAGAGGAGGTGTGTTAGACTGATGGAATCAGGGAAAAGAGACAAGAAAAAGAATGAAGTGGGGGGGAGAGAGAGTAAAGAGAAAGCGACACAGAGAGTGGGAAAGACAGAGAGAGGCAGGGCAACGAGGAGAGACAGAGGCCAAGAAGAGGCGATAAGGAAGGGCCCAGAACAGCAGAGAGAAAGGCAAGTGGAGGAGGAGAGAGAGAGAGGCAGGAAAAGCAGCAATGACACAGGAAAGCGAGGCATTGGGAAAGGCCAGGCAGGCAGAGAGCTGGCAGGGATGAAGGGAGAGGGGGCCCTGCCCGTGGTGTGGCGGAAGGCTATTTGGGGACCTGGGTGGGGAAAGGGGGACACATACTACTGCACGAGGATCTTCACCAGGTTGATGTGGCCGCAGGTGGCCGCGGCGTGCAGGGGCGTCCACAGCTCGTTGTCCTTGGCATTCACATTGGCACCATGGGAAAGGAGCAGCTTAACAATCTCCTCAAAGTTGTCGATGCAGCACTGTGAGGGGAACACAGGAGAGTCAGTCAGCTCAGGGCAGCCTGGGGTGAGGCAGGGGGACAGGCTCCCTGGAGGAGGTCCTTAGGAGCCAGAGTCTGGGTTTATGTCTAGTGCTATCTCGTACAAGCTGTGTGAGCTTGGGCAAGTCGCTTAACCTCTCTGAGCTTCTTCTCATGAGTAAAAGTGATGTAAATAAGATCAAAACTGAAAACAAAGGTCAGTATCACTCTGACAGCTGTAAAAAATCAAGGATTAGTTGGATGGTATAAAATTTTAAATGTGGTTCAGAGACAATTTCTTCAAACAAACTCACATTAAGAATGTTGTTGTTGAGGGAGCTCTGGGGGCCTAGTGCTAAGAAATTGCACTGCAATCCCAGAGGTACACAGTTTGAATCCACCAGATGCTCTGCTGGAGAAGGAGGGTCACCATCTCCTCCTGTACCAGTCAGATCCAATCCAACGGCACACACACACACAAATAATAAAAACAATAAAGATTTAAAGAAAAAAAGAGAATGTTGTTGTTACATGCTGTCAAGTCACCTGTGGCCCATAAGGACCCTACGTACAGTAGCTCTGAAGCCTGCCCTGTTCTGAGCCAGTCTCACTGATTCCAACACACCAACTCCCATTGCCCCAGTTACTGTGTCCATTCATCTCATCCAGAGTCTTCCTCTCCTGTGCTGTCCCTCCACCCTTCCAAGCATGATGTCCTTCTCTAAGGACTGGTCTCTCCTGGCCACATGCTCAAAGTAAGTGAGACGTAGCTTCAAAATTCAAGCCTCCAAGGAGAAACTCGGTTTCACCCTCTCCAAGACAGATTTATTTGTTTTCTTGGCAGCCCATGGGATATTCAAGACTCTTCTCCAACACCACAACTTGAAGGCATTGATTCTTCTGTCATCCTCAGTCATTGTCCAGCTCTCTAATGCATAGCAAGTAACTGCAAAGACCATGGCCTGGATTAGGTGCACCTTAATCTCCAGACTGACATCGTTGCTTTTCAGTATCCTGAAGGGGTCTCTGACTCTATGTGTGTGTAAAAAATAGAAGTTTCTGTCAAGTCAGAACCAATTACTCATAACTGAGCCACCAGCAGGTTTTCAGAGGTAAATACTGCGTGGGAAGAGACTGCCCATCCTTCTCCCTTGGAGCAGCTGGTGGATTTGAATCAGGTGCCTTTGGGACTCAGTGCAGCTTGCCACTCGGGCCACCAGAGCTCTCTTAGTAAACCCAAGCGAGGTTGCTGGGGTTGAAGCAGCAGTGGGGGGAAGGGAGAAGCAGGTGGACCCACAGTGTGGCCTCAGATCATGGTTAGAAACTGTGGGTTTAGGAACTTCAGTTCTAGAGAGCCCCTTGTCCTCAGTACCAGCGGCCCCAGCTCACACGAGGGCTCAGGACACCTGCGACGGTTTCTGCGGAGATGGCTTGTGTTCCACCGGGCGGGGAGAAGGGACCACTAGTGGGTCAGCCTGGGAGAGGGGGTGCTCAAGAGTATGTAGCCAACTTAGAAAGAACACGAGGCTATGACAATTAGCAGGGGCCCCCAAACTCCAGGAGTAGAAATTACAGCTCCCTGGGGGCAGAGGGGCCTCAAAAATGAGGAAGGGGAGACAAGGACAGAGGAGGAAGAGGGAAGGGAGGACTTGCAGCAAGTGTAGGAAACGGGATTTCCTAGTTGTGCTTTTGAGAGAAGGTGGAAAGGGATTCACTGAGGGGGAACAGGGGGCAGACTGAGGGGCAGTGTGGGGCACGCCAAGGGGTGGCAGGGGCACGCCAAGGGGCAACAGAGAGCACACCGAGGGGCAGCAGGGGCGACACCAAGGGGCGGCGTGGAGCACGCCAAGGGGCAGCAGGGGACAAGCCGAGGGGCAACAGGGGGCACACCGAAGGGCATCAGGGGGCACACCGAGGGGCAGCTGAGGGGAGACCAAGAACACCAAGGGGCAGTGTGGGGCCACTGTACTCAAGAGAGTACAGTACAATCAGGCTCACTTCTTTTTAAAAAATCCCTCCTCTGGTTGCATGTAGAGAACAGAGTGTGTGTGTGTGTGTGTGTGTGTGTGT